AGGTCACAAGTCACAACCAGCAAGGTCAAGACGGAGGATGGCATGTGGGAGAGCATAGCCCTCATAAATGGGGACAGTGTGACTCACACCATCTCCAGAGTCCAAAACAATACCTACACAAAGATTAATAAGTAGTGGCACTGATTAGATACTAGATTATGTAAGTTCCAATGTTAAGAAAATGCAGTTAAAAAACAGATGTACCAAAATAAAAGAAAAACTGCTGCAGCTCACTACAAGTACGGCCACTGGAATAGAAGAAAAGAACAGCTTGAATGGCGACATACATAGCAGGAGTGTTGAAAGTCTCAAACATGATTTGGGTCATTTTCTCACGATTTGCTTTTGGGTTGAGAGGTGCCTCAGTAAGCAGAACAGGGTGATCTTCTGGGGCCACACGGAGTTCATTGTAGAAGGTCTGATGCCAAATCTTCTCCATATCATCCAGTTGTTAACAATGCCTTGCTCAATTGGGTATTTCAGAGTCAAAATACCACGCTTAGACTGGGCCTCATCCCTAACATATGCATCCTTTAGGCCCATCCCAACCATCACACCAGTGTGCCGTGGACGTCCCACAATGCTGGGAAACACGGCCCTTGGAGCATCATCACCAGTAAACCCAGCCAAAAATGCAAAGAAAAACCATATAAACAAGTTTGGCACTGAAGATAAATAGAGCACCCGGAAATACAATGTCTACCTTAACCATTCCCGTTCCATTATCACAGACGAGGGGCTGAATATTATCACCCTCTGCCATCTTCTTTCAACAACAAGCTAACAGGAAAACAGAAAGGAATATGAAAATAATCAATGGAATAACAGGGCATCACGAAATTAGACCCAAGTCACTTCCAATGTCATGGACCTGATCAACTGCTATGAAACGGTTTCCTTTCATGTTCCCTACATTTTCTCAAGAACCAAACAGAAAACAAGAAAATGGGTAGCAAAAGTCACCTTGAATAAGTCGATCTCAGCTACCCGCCCTTGGCTTCGAATTTTAAAGCCAGAAGAACAATAGCCTCCGGTCAGAAAAGTTAGCCGGTGACTGAAAGCCCCGTTTATATTGTTGGGATTGCGCTGTTTTGACCGTTGGATATAAAATCCGATTACCAAGCTCCCTCAACGCGGAGATTAAAGTACCAAAATATCCCTCTGATTAATCTGAATCAATAATGGGTCCATCGCGAGGCCTGGAACTACAGAACACCGTTTAAAATGGGCCGGATGAGAATTGGCCCGTCAATCAACTGCAGATTGATTGGGCCAATCCGGAACTTCTCCTGACCCAATTCAGCTACAGACTCCACGATCATGGCCCATCAATTTTTCTCTTTTTATTACTTATTAGTATTCGATCTGTTCACATTCTTTTCTCTTTTTTTTTTTTTTTTCTCTCTGATTGTTCACATTCCTTTAAAATAGAGAAATGATTCGCCTACAATGTTTTTTTACATAATGATATGTATAA